TATGCCCCTGTAGTTGTTGTGTGGTCATCCTCTGGGCTGGCCTGGCAGTATGGCAGGGGCAATAGGTGTGGACCGGTGGTGCTTGCCTCCAGGATGGAGCAGCTGGCTGCCTATCACAGTTGGGGGCCTTGGAGCTGCTTTGGGAGGCAGGCACATGGAGTGTCTGAAGCTCCTGAAAGTTCCTAACCTGCTGGGCTGAATATGCCAGGGTGATGTAGTCCACCTTGTTCTTTCTCCTGAGCAGCAAGTTCTGTGTAATCTTTGGCCCTTTATAGTACCCTTCTCACTGTTGGGAATTCTTTCAAAGTTCCCTCTTTTCTTTTGTCCCAGAGTGCCTGGTTGTGTATACCTGTTCTTCACGAGAGGCAGGAATCTCAGTCTCTCCAAGTATTCCGCCTCTCTTTGCTTTCGAACACCACTGATCTCCAGAGCACCATGTAATGTGGGTTCGTACTCCTGGAGCAAATCTCCAGGGTTGTGTGTTTAACAGTTCTGGGCTTCTCCTCCCTCCCCAATCTGTCTCTTCTCCTCCCCCATGTGACCTGGGGTAGGGGGAGGGCTTGGTTGGGTCTTGCCAGAGCACGACTTAGCTATTTTACCCTTTTCTTTGAGGTCTTCTCTTTCCCACATGTAGGCAATCTGTTATGCAGTGTTCAGGTCATTCTTTTGGGATTAGTTGTATTTGCTGTATTTTCATGTTATATGTGGTTTTGGGAGGAGATTTCTGCCTCAGTTCTCATTCTCATACTGCCATGTTTTTCCTCTGTTACATATTCTTAAGTAAGTGATCAGGGGAATGATATTCCCAGAGTATTTGTATGACATTTGATAACAGTTTGCATACTCTTTTCTTTTTAATGTAGTAATTGAGATATAATTCACATATTATAAAACTCACACATTTAAAGTATACAATTCAATGGCTTTTAGTATGTTCATAGAGTTGTGCATCATCACCACAATCAGTTTAACATTTTTGTCACCCAAAAAGAAACCCCATACTCAATGGCAGATACTCTTCACTTCCCACCTCCTCACATATTTTTATAATTTCTTGAGTATTTCTTTGACTCAAGAATACTTTCTTTTTCCTAAATTTTTCCAGGTATTTATATTGAAAATGTTCACACCTAGAGAAAAGTTGAGAGGATAATAATTGAATTCCATTTAAAACCATTGTCTGGATTTACCAGTTTGTAACATGCTGCCACACTTGCTATACGTATTTATATATCTTAATGTTTTAAAGCTTTTTTTCCTAAATGATATGTAGGTCTAAGTCACTAATGTAGTGACGTTTGATACCTAAATAATTAAGCATGTATCTCTAATAATAGGACATCCTTTCCTAAATAAGTTTTCATTATTCCTAATTAACCTAAGCAAACTACCATCACATGTAAGAAAATTTCTCATTATTTCAGGAATATCATCTAAAGTATGATACATAATAAATTTCTCCCGTTTCTTTAAAAACATTTTTTTCTTTTGTATGAATGTTTTTAAATTCAGGATCCAATCGAAGTTCATGAATCAATTTATTGTTAGGTTTTATTAGTCCTTTTTAATCTAAAGAACTGTGACTTGAATTTTTTAAAATTTAAATTATTAAAATTTTGGTTCTCTCTTTCTCCCCTTTTTTTTTAAGAGTCCAAGTCCAGGCCAGTGTTCTTAAAGCATGACATTCTGAGTTTGTGTAGTTTAAAATTTTTCCTCATGATTTGGATCAGAAAGCTTCCCAATAGATGTATAATTCTGGTATCATTAGGTGAAGAAGCACAGATGTTTCTTTACAGATGACTAATTTTGGTCAACCAAATATCTGTTTCAACATAGATGACTAATTCTGATTTTATTATGGTCAGAGACTATATGATTTCACTCCTTTGAAGTATATACAGACTTGTGTTATTTTATAGCCCAGTATATAGTCAGTTTTTATAAACATTCTGTGTGATTAAAAAAAGAATGTGTATTTCTAGTGTTTGTTTTGGGTTTTATATGGTGTCCATTCAAATTTTTTTCCTATTTTAATAAAGGATTGTTGATATACAATCTTTTTTCTAGTTTTTTATTTATTCTTTAATTGATACATAATTTAAGGATAAAGTCCACTAATCTTAAGTGTGCACCTTAGTAAGTTTTTACACAAATAAATCTTGTAAATACCACCCAGTTGAAGACTTACAGCATTCACTGAAATACAATCTTTTATAGGTTTCAAGCGTACAGTGCAGTGGTTCAACAGTTACCCATGTTAGTAAATCCTCTCCCCCACTAGTGTGGTTACTATCTATCCATGTAGAAAGATGTTACAGAATCATTGACTATGTTCTCCATGCTGTAGTAACATCCCATGACCAACTTATATTGTGATTGTGAATTACTGTTCACCTTTATCACTCCCATTTAAAATTTTTAAAAATGTATTTCTGCAAGTTGCTGAAAAAGATATGTTAGAATCTTTCACTAAGTTTATGGATCTCAATTTTCCCTTAAAACTTAATCTGTATTTACTTCATATTAAAACCATTTTATTAGGGACATACAAATATTAATATCCTTTTGTTGTTATGGCTATAATACAGGTGCATTATAGAAAATTGAGACAAATTTAAATTAGAAACATAACCTTTACAATAACACTCTTCAGTACTTCCTACTGCCCTTCCACACCTTTACATACACACATCATTATTCCCTGTTGAGCAAAATGAGATAATACTGAAATTGCTGTTCTACAACCTACCTTTTGGTTGGTTGTCACATAACTATAATTCTCTTTGTGCTGTAGTTCTCCTACATCTATGTTGTAGTAGCATTACCTCTACATACATTGAAAACCCCATTCCACAATAACTTAATTTTTCTTTCAACCATCAAACATCTTCTAAAGAACTCCAGAGGAAAAGATGGCCTATTACATTTACCCAGATATGTACCATTTCTTTTGTTCTTCCACTGTTCCTGATGTTCCGGTTTTTCTTCTGGTATCATTTCACTTTCTTCCCAAGAACTTCCTTTTAGCACATCTTCTGCATTTTGTTTTCCCATTTTTATAGATACATGACCAAAGTGGTTAAGATGTGCATTTGTTCCATTTGAAAGAGAAGCAGTATGAGAACGATTCTATTTATCAATTGGTTGTGACAGATTCTTTTGTTTTCTGTCTTCATTTGTGGTTGGTATTTTTTCAGGATATTGAATTTAGGGTTGAATTTTTTTTCTCGCTCTTCAGAATACTGTGTTACTTCCTTCTGGCTGCTGTTTGATGAGAAGTCTGTAGTCATTTGAATTGTTCAGGTATTGTATAGGTAATGACTTGTGGTTTTTTAAGGTGCTTTCAAGTGTATTTTCATTTATATTTAGTTTTTAGCAATTTGGTTATGATAAGTTTGGGTGTGGGTTTCTTTAGTTTAATTCTCATTGGGGCTCAATGAGATTTTTGTTTGTAGGTTTATGAATTTTGCCAAACTTGGGAAGGTTTTAGCTTTTTAAATAAATTTTTTTCAGTTGTGCACACTTTTCCCCTCCTGGAACCCCTGTGATATGAATGTCAAAACTTATAGCACTGTCTTTCTGGTCCTTGTTGCTGTGCCCATTTGTTTCAGTATTTTTTCTTTCTGTTTTTCATATTGGATAAATTTGTTATTATAAGTTCATTGTTGCTTTCCTGACTGAGACCATCTAGCAATATTTTAACTTTATTTGTTACAGTTTTTAGATTTTTTCCTTGGTTCTTTTCATATCTTGGCTGACATTTTCTCTTTTTCCATTTGTTTCAAGAGTGTTTGTGATTGCTTGTTGTTGCATTTGTATAATTATAGCTTTAAAATCTGTCAGATAATTACAACATCTGTCATCTCAGCATTGACATCTGTTGATTTTTAGAACATGTTGATGTATTTCACCAGGAGTTGACCTAATTACATGTTCAAGCTTCCAGTTTCTACCTGCCTTCTGTGTTTATCTTCCCATTGTTATAGGGACATGACCAAAGTGTTTTAGATGTGCATTTGTTCCCATTTAAAACAACTGATACGAGAATAGTTCTTTATCAACTTTAGTGGTTTTGAATGAATGGTTATTGCAATAAGTCTTTCCCAGTGGCTTATTTTTATATAGTATACCTTTAATCTCAGCCTAATTTCCTTTATCTTTAATTCACCGGTAATCTGTTATCTGTTATGTGCTATAGGCTTATTAATAGTAGTGAGTGCAATCAAAATTGTGCCTACCCTTAGGCAGATTTAGGGATAAGAAAATATACAGAGTAAGATGTTAGTTAATGAATGAAAATATAGTTAAAACAGAGTTATGAAGGCAAGGAATGAGGCTCTCGAGTAGAGAATAGTAGACAGGGATGTATTTAGATAGGACCCAGAAAGTACAGTTGTTCTGAGGAAGACATTTATCCGGAGTCTTAAAAGATGAGGAGGATATTTTTTATATGTAGCTCAGGTCCCAGGATTTTGGAGAGATGAAACAGTCTAAGTTAAAGCATGAAGATGTGGAAAAAAGGTTGTATCAAGTACTAAGCACTAAAAGAAAGCAGTGCGGCAGAGGTAGGGTACGAAGGACGACTGGCTTGATATTAGGTCTTGCTGTCTGTGGTTTTGGACTTTAAGAGTAAAGGCAAACAAACCATTCAAAATAGTTTTAAGTATGGAGAATTAAACTTTGATCTGTACCTGAATCATCTGATAGAGATGTAAAAATACAGTTTCTTAGGACTTAATCATACAAATTCTTATTCTGTGCATCTGAACTGCTTGATTTCTAACAAGTTTATCAAATGATTTTGATTAACACCTAAATTTGACAAAGTTAATCTATTCTATTATGAGCATCACTGTCTTATATAAACTTTCTTGTTATTGGAGCTCTTATCCTTTTCCAATTCTCTGGAAGTATTTTAGAGTTGTGTATTCTTTAATGGATATTTTACTTGTATATGTGAAAGGAATGTAAAATATGTTTGCTTTCTACTTTTCTTTCAGATTTGGAGTCAAATTATGGAACTGAGAAGTTACTGGCAGAAAATGATATTTACGAAACAAACTTTTCTGAACAGGATATGCTGCAAATAAGTAAAACTCTTGGGTTCAAGGCCTCCAGTTTTAGAAATGACTCAAAGTGTAGAAATAGATTTGAGGGACTACAGGGACACCAAGAAGTATATATCAGTCAAAAGATAATCAGCTATGGAAAAATACTTACTAATCATACTTCTCTTATTCAAAATACAGGCAAACCATATGAATGTAAGGAGTTTGAAAAGTACTTTAGTAGTTGCTCAAATCTTACTCAGCATCAGAGTATTCATACTGGAGAGAAACCTTGTGAATGCAAGGAATGTGGGAAGGCATTTAGACTTCTACAACTTACTAGACATCAGAAATTTCATTCTAGTAAGAAACCCTTTAAATGTAAGGTATGTGGGAAGGCTTTTAGTCTTCCCATGCACCTTAATCACCATAAAAACATTCATAGAGCTGGGAAACCATTTGAGTGTAAGGAATGTGGGAAGGCCTTCAATCATAGCTCAAACCTCATTCAGCATCAGAGTATTCATACCCGTGTAAAACCATATGAATGTAAGGAGTGTGGGAAAGGCTTTAATCGTGTTTCAACTCTTGTTTGGCATAAAAAAATTCATTGTAGTGCAAAACGTTTTGTATGTAAGGAATGTGGGAAGGTCTTTAGATATCATTGCCACCTTATAGAACATTGCCGAATTCATACTGGTGAGAAACCCTTTGAATGTAAAGAATGTGGGAAGGCCTTTAGTCTTCTGACACAGCTTACTCGACATCAGAACATTCATACTGGTGAGAAACAATTTAAATGTAAAGAATGTGGGAAGACCTTCAGTCGTGGCTGGAATCTTGTTCAGCATCAGAGTATTCATACTGGTGAGAAACCCTGTGAATGTAAAGAATGTGGGAAGGCCTTTAGGCTTCACTTGCAAGTTTCTCAGCATCAGAAAGCTCATGCTGGTAAAAAACCCTTCGAATGTAAGGAATGTGGGACAGCCTTCAAACATCAGTACCAACTTACTGAACATCAACGAATTCATACAGGTGTGAAGCCATATGAATGTGAGGAATGTGGGAAATGCTTTCGTTGTGGTTCAAGTCTTACTCAACATCTGAGTATTCATGCTAGAAAGAAACCCTTTAAATGTAAGGAATGTGGGAAGGCCTTTAGATTTTCTATACAATTTCACCGACATCAAAAACTTAGTACTGGTGAGAAGCCCTTTGAATGTAAGGAATGTGGAAAAGCCTTTAGTTTTCTCACCCAGCTTAATCACCATAAGAACATTCATACAGGTGAGAAACCATTTGAATGTAAAGAATGTGAAAAGTCCTTTAATAGTGTCTCAAACCTTGCTCAACATCAGAGTATTCATGCTGGTGTGAAACCACATGAATGTAACGAATGTGGGAAATGCTTTAATCGTGTTTCAAACCTTACTCAGCATCAGAAAATTCATGCTAGTGAGAGACCTTTTGTATGTAAGGAGAGTGGGAAGGCCATTAGATATTACCAACTTAGTGAACATCATAGAATGCATGCTGGTGAGAAACCCTTTGAATGTAAAGAATGTGGGAAGGCCTTTAGTCTTCTGACACAGCTTACTCAACATCAGAACATTCATACTGGTGAGAGACAATTCAAATGTAAGGAATGTGGGAAGACCTTCAGTTGTGGCTCAAATCTTGCTCAGCATCAGAGTATTCATACTGGTGAGAAACCCTGTGAATGTAAAGAATGTGGGAAGGCCTTTAGGCTTCACTTGCAGGTTTCTCAGCATCAGAAAGCTCATACTGGTAAAAAACCCTTTGAATGTAAGGAATGTGGGACAGCCTTCAAATATCAGTACCAACTTACTAAACATCAACGAATTCATACAGGTATGAAATCTTATGAATGTAAGGAGTGTAGTAGAAAGGGCTTTAGTTGTGGTACAGACCTTAGAGTACATCAGAGAATTCACACTGGTGAGAAGCCCTTTGAATGTAAGGAGTGTGGGAAGGCTTTTCGACATCATTACCAATTTCTTGCACATTACAGAATTCATACTCATGAGAAGCCCTGTGCATGTAAGGAATGTGGGAAGACCTTTTGTTGTAGCTCAAACCTCATTCAACATGTTAAAATTCATACTTGTGAGGAACCCTATAAATGTAAGGATTGTGGAAAGGTCTTTAGCAAGAATTATGGACTTACTGTACATCAGAGAATTCATACTGGTGAGAAACCTTACAAATGTAAGGAATGTGGGAAAACCTTTAGGTTTGGTTCAGTCTTTACCGTACATAAGAGAATTCATACAGGTGTGAAACCCTATGAATGTAAAGACTGTGGAAAGACCTTTAATTGTAGCTCAAACCTTGCTAAACATAAGAGAATTCATACTGGTGAGAAACCTTATGAATGTAAGGAATGTGGGAAGGCCTTTAGACTTAAGTCAATCCTTTCTGCACATCAGAGAGTTCATATTGGTGTGAAGCCCTGTGAATGTAAGGAATGTAGGAAGGCTTTTTAAAGAACTTGACTCAGTTTTTATTGCCCATCAAAGAATTCATTCAGTTATGAAACCCTATTAATGTGAAGAATGTGGGAAAGCCTTTACTGTGAGTGGTCAGCTTACTTGACATAAAAAAATTCATAATCATCAGAAGTCCTGCAAATATAAGTAATGTGGGCAAACCTTCAGTGAATATGAACAGTTCACTCAACATCAGTTCATACTGGTGGAAATGCCTATGCATTTAAAATAATGTGGGTGGAACTTTCGTTGTGGTCTCTGCTCAAAAAAAGTATACTGGTAAGAAACCCTGAATATAAGTAATATAGAAAGTTTTATAATCACAGTAAAACAGTTCAGAGAAGACATTCTTGTAAGAAAATAGATGAATAAGGAATATGGGGTAGCCTTCATGCTTATAGGTTATTAACAAAAACATATTTTACTAGATATGTTTAATTCATAAACTTAGAAAAGCCTTTAAACTAGAGAAAAACTATTAGTGGAACAAATGTGAGAGACATAGTTAACCGTCATCGTCATATCCTTGTCACAGAGGCACATACTTTATCATCATTATCCTATCCCTGCCTGTGTGAAATTAGATGCTTATTCTCTTTTTGCATAATTTGTAAATGGCAACAATAGTGAGTACTTAGTGCAGTTAAGGGAATAAATATAGTACATATAAAATCCTTGACTGTTTAGCACATGCCTGTGCTCATAACTTACATTGTAGTTTCATTAGCATTACTGATATTGATGTGAGAGGAAAATTGTATTGCAAATAATTAAGGAAAGACATCCATTATTAAGTTTTAAATATTCCAGATAAAATTGGAAAGTAAAGAACATGTGACAGTTTTCATTAAGAACTCATTTCTTGAGTTCCAACAAAAAGTTAATGCTGAAAAGAAACCCTGTGGGTTTAGTGTGGAGATGTTGAAAATACATTTGTTGAAGAATCAAGAGTTTTTGGAGTGATTTGCCTTTAAAAATTTCAATAGACAGAAAATGTATAATCTATGTTCTCTGTCCAGAAGTTAGGATATAAATTGGATATTAACAAATAACAGGAACTAAAAACTATCCATTTATATATTATCTAACTTTACCATGAAAATTGTTATAAAAGTTGAAGAATGCCCCCAGATACCCGAGATTCAAAGTTGACAATTCGACATTTATTTTTCTGTATATTTTTTGTACCATTAATATATTTTAGACATGATACCTTAACCCTTATTATATCACTATGTAGCTCCCAAACACAATCTGATATATAATCATAATACAATTGCCCTTAAGGAAATTATCCATAATTCCATAATATCTATCCTATATTCACAGTCTTCATTGACCTCTAAAATGCTTTTTATAGTTTATTTTCTAAGGAGAATGGATTCAAGATTCTGTGTTGTATTTGGTTTAGTTTTCTTTAGTCTTTTAGTTTGGAACAGTGACTCTCAAATTTTCCTAGATATCAGAATCACCTTGGAACTTGGTAAATATACAGAGGCCCAGGCCCTTTCCTACTTGAGTGAGCCTGGGCCTCTGTTTTCTTTACTGGCTCTCCATGTGATTCTGATACACACCACAATTAGAGAGTGATTGGTCTAGAACATTTCTTCTTGTTTTTAAAAAGATGTTGACTTTCTGGGAAAAGTTGCCATGTGTTTAGGTGTTTTGTTTTCTTACTCTGTTAGATAGCCTTACTCTACCTTTTGTATTTTCTATATAAAGGAAGTCAGACTAGAGACTACATTAGGTTGAGATTAAATGTTTTTTTGGGTGGGGGGAAGTACAGGTCGTTTGTCATATTGCAATATGTCAGAAAATACATTGTTAATAAAAGTTATAATCATGGGTATTTAAATCCTGGATCAAGAAAAATAAAATACACTTCAGAAATGAACATTAAAATGTCAACATAATTGAACTTGGGGGATGTGGCTGAAGGTACACTCTGTATGAAATTAGTATCCTTTGGTGTATACAGGAAACCAAAATTGTTTTGACTGAACCTTGTTTTGTTGTTCACTCTATCCCGAGCACCTGTACTGTGCCTGCCACATTAGAAATTGATAAACTTGAAAAAAATAAAAAGCATTCAAATCAAGTTATAAAACAGTAAACCATAAGCCAATATAAAGAAGCAACAGTAAAAAAGATTATTTGAAAAACAGACTTCACCCATTTTAAATTAAAATGCACATGAATGTATGTACATATTTTCTGTATCCATTCATTTATGGACACTGGTTGTTTCCATTTCTTGGCTATTGTTAATGCTGCAGTGAATGTGGGGTTCCTGATACCTCTTCAGGAGAGTCCTTTTATTTCCTTTGGATATAAACACAGAAGTGGAATTGCTGGATCATATGGTAGGTATCCTTAATTTATTGAAGAAACTTCATGCTATTTTCTGTAATGGCTGTACCAATTTGTATTGCTGCCAGCTATATGCAAGTGTTACCTTTCTCCACATCCTCACCATCCCTTCTCTCTGGTTTTTTTAGTAATAGCATTCTAACAGGTATGGAATGATATCTCATTGTGGTTTTGAAATGCATTTCGCAATGATGAGTGATAATGTGCATATTTTCGTGTGCCTATTGGCTATTTGAATTATCTTTAGAAAAAATGTCTTCAGGTCCTTTGCCCCTTTTAAAATCAGATTTTTTTTCTGTTGAGCTATGTAAGTTCCTTATATATTTTGTATACTAACCTCTTATCCAATATGTACATGGCTTACAAATATTACCTCCCATTCCATAGGTTGCCTTTTCGTTTTTTGTTAAGTTATTTTGCTGTGCAGAAGCTTCTTAGTTGGATGTGATCCCACTTGTTTTTGCTTTTGTTGCTTGTGATTTCCCTGTCTTATCCAAAAAGTCATTGCCAAGAACAATGTCAGGGAGATTTCTCCTAGGATTTTTATAGTTTTAGGTTTTTTTCTTTCAAGTTTTTCACCAGCTTTATTGAGAGACAATTTACATATAACGTGTAAATTTTTTTATTTTATTAAGGTATCATTGGTATCTTACGAAGGTTTCACAGGAAAAACAATGTGGTTATTACATTCACCCTTATAACTGAGTCTCCCCCATACACCATTGCAGTCACTGTCCATCAGTGTAGTAAGATGCAACAGAGTCCCTATTTGTCTTTTCTGAGCTACACTGTCTTCCCTATGACCCCACATTGATGTGCACCAATCATGATACCCCACAATTCCCTTCTCTGTCCCTCCCCACCACACCTCTCCTTTGGTAACCACTAGACACTTCTTGGAGTCAGAGTCTGCTGCTATTTTGTTCCTTAAGTTTTGCTTTCTTGTTATACTCCACAAATGAGGGAAATCATTTGGCACTTGTCTTTCTCCACCTGGCTTATTTCAATGAGCATAACACCCTCTAGCTCCATCCATTGTGTTGCAAATGGTATGATTTGTTTTCTTATGGCTGAATAATACCCCATTGTGTATATGTACCACAGCTTTATCCATTCATCTACTGATGGACACTTAAGTTACTTCCATATCTTGGCTATTGTAAATAGTGCTGTGATAAATGGGTGCATATGTCTTTGAATGTGAGAAGTTCTTGATTTGGGTAAATTTGTAGGAGTGGAGTTCCCTTATGGTTTCAGGTTTTAAGTCCTTAATCCATTTTGAGGTAATTTTTTTTTTTTTTTTTTTNTATAAACCATCAGGTCAAATATGAATATTCATTTGATTTTTGTACTTGATTTATATGTTGATCCCACATTTCTCCTATTATTATTATTATTTTTATTTTTAATAAAATGCTGAAGTGGTAGGTAGATGCAAGATAAAGGTAGAAAACATAGTTTAGTGCTGTAAGAAGGCAAATGTAGATGATCAGATGATCAGGTGTGTGCCTATGGACTAAGTATTAATCCAGGCTAGACAAGGGCAGCAAGACATCCACGGATGCAGAAGATTTCTCTCAAAGCAGGGGGGGTGAGGTTCTGAGCCTCACCTCTGTTGATCCCCAAATTCTCACCTGATGGCCCCCCTGCGACTGTGCCTGTCTTAGGTTGTTCCTCCCTTGAGGAATCTTACCCGTCTCTGGCTAACCAGTCATCTTCCGGGGCCATACAGGGAAATGTAAAGTTGGTAAGTGAGAGAGAAGCCATATTGTTTGCAAAGGTTAGCTTTTTACTTCTTTGCAGATTTATGCCCTGTGGCTTCTATGCCCAGCACTTGTCTCAAGGTATCTTTACCACCTGGAGGAATTATGATACTCGGTAAATTCGATATGAGGCACGAATTGAGGTAATTTTTGTAAGAGGAATCTAGTTGTTTTTCATGTGAATATCCAGTTTTCCCAGCACTTTATATCGAAGAGACTGTCTTTTCTCTATCAAGTATTCTCGGCTCCCTTATCAGATAGTTGACCATACATGAATGGGTTTATTTCTGGCCTCTACATTCTGTTCCACTGATCTGTGTGTATGGTTTTATGCCAATACCATACTGTTTTGATTAAAGCTTTATAATAGGATACATTGAATATTGAAATCAGGAAGTGTGACTCCAGCTTTGTTCTGTCTCAGAATTGCTTTGGTATTCTGGGACTTTTGTGTTTCCATCTGAATTTTAGGACATTTTAACTTCTTCAATTTGTGAATGTGGTATCTCTTTCCATTTTTTTGTGTCTTAAATTTCTTTTATTAATACAGTTTTAATTATACAGGTCTTTCATCTGGTTGGTTCAATTTATTCTTAACTAATTGTTTTTGATGCAGTTATAAATGGGATTGTTTTCTTTTTTCAGATAGTTTATTGTTAGCAAATAGAAGTGCTACTGTTTTTTGGATGTTTATTTTGTATTCTGCAACATTACTGAATTTGTTGATTAGATCTATCATTTTTTTATTTGACATTTTAGGGTTTTCTCTCAATAAGATGTCATCTGCAAATAGAGACAGTTTTATTTTGTCTTTTCCTATTTGGATGCTTTTTATTTTTCTTGCCTGATTGCACTGGCTAGGACTTCCAGTACTCTGTTGAATAGGAGTGGTGAGAGTGAGCATCCTTTTCTTGTTTCTGATCTTAGTTAAATTAGTTAGAATGTCCTAAAATTCAGTTGGAAACATGAAAGACCCAGAACACCAAAGCTTTCAACCTTTCACCGTTGAAGATTTTAGCTGTGGCCTTGTCATATATAACCTTTATTTTGTTGAAATATGTTCCTTCTACATGCAGCTTGTTGAGAGTTTTCATCCAGAAAGGATGTTGAATTTTTGTCAAATGATTTTTTTGCATCTATTGAACTGATCATATGATTTGTATCTTTTATTCTATTGTGGTCTACCTACGTTAAACCTTTGCTGCATTCCAGGGCTGTCACTTGATTGTGGTGTATGATCCTTCTAATGTGCTGTTGAATTCACTTTGCTAGTATTTTGTTGAAAAATTTTGGATCTGTGTTAATCAGGGACATTGGCCTATTTTTTTCTTGTAATGTCTTTACCTGGCTTTGGTATCAGGGTAATGCCGGCATTGTAAAAATTGAATGCTCTCTCCTCTTCAGTTATTTATTTATTTATTTATTTTTGGAAGAGTTTAAGAAGGGTTGGTATTGATTTTTTAAATGTTTGGTCATCAGTGCAACTGTCAGGTTAGGGATTTTATTGGGAGATTTTGAGTACTGATTCAATCTCTGTTATTGATCTGTTCAGATTTTCTGCTGCTTAATGATTCAGTCTCGGCAGGTTGTATGTTTCCAGGAATATGTCTGTCTCACCTAGATGTACACTTTGTTGGTGTACAGTTGTTCATAGTGCTCTTGTAATCTTTTATTTAATCAGTAGTAGTATTCACTTTCTTAAGTAACTTAAATATTTTATTATTCTTTCTTAGTCTATCTAGCTAAAGGCTTATTAGGCTTGTTGGTTTTTCCAAAGAGCCAAAGTAAGTTTCTCTATTTTGTTTATCTCTAATCTTTATTATTTCCTTCTGTTAGTGTTAGGTTTTGTTTATTTCTCTTTCTAGTTCCTAAGTTGTAAAGTTAGATTGTTGATTTGAGATCTTGTTTTTTAATGTTAAGTGTCTATAGCATAAATTTCACTCTTAGCACTGCTTTTGTTTCATCCTGTAAATTTTGGTATGTTTTCATTTTCGTTTGTATCTAAATATTTTCTAATTTCCCTTGTGATTTCTTTGATCCATTGGCTCTTTAAAAGTAAGTTTTTAAATTTCCACAATTTTGTGAATTTTCCAGTTTTCATTGTTATTAATGTCTAACTTCATCCCATTGTGGTCAATTAAGATACTTTGTATGACATCTGTTCACTCTATTGAGGCTTAATTTGTGACCTAACATATGGTCTAACCTGGAAATGTCCCATGTATATTATACTTGAGATGAATGTGTATTTTCTTAAAGAGTAGAGTGTTGTGTATAAGTCTGTTAACTCTAATTGGTATTGTTTTATGGCCTCAATTTCTTTACTAATTTTTTGGCTTATTCTATTCAGTATTGAGTGGGGTATTGAAGTCTCCGACTATAATTCTAACGCTGTCAATTTCTCCCTTCATTTCTGTAAGTTTTTGCTTCATCTAGTTTGTTGGTCTGTCATTAAAGGCTAACTGTTTTTGTTCTATCTTATTGAATGTTTTATTGATATATATAATGCCCTTCTTTGATTTAAAGTCTGTTTTGTCTAATATTAGTATAGGCACACCTGATTTCTTTGGTTACTATTTGCATAGAGTATCTTTTTCTACTCTTTCACTTTGAACCTGTTTGTGTCTTTGGATCTCAAATGAGTCTCTTATAAAAAGGAGCATATAGTTGGATTTGTGTAGCTTTATTCACTGTGTAAATCTCTATCTTTTGATTATAAAAGTTTAATACACTTATATTTAAAGTAATTAGTAAAATGGAGAGACTTCTGTAATTGTATTTGCTTTCACATGCTTTATGACTTTTTGTCCATCACTTCCTGCATTACTGTCATCTTTTGTGTTTTTCACAGTGAAATGCTTAGAGTCCTCTCTCATTTGCTTTTGTTTAAATGCTTTAGCTATTTGTGATTATCATGGGGATTACATCTAAATCCCAATTTGAATTTATACTAAACTAAATATAATATAAACTCAGTTCCTTTACAGCACTGTATGCACTTTTGGTTGTTGGTGT